GGCTGAGATAGCGTGTGGTATGGGTGACGCCCCCCTCACAGCACCTCCCACTTGTGTTTCCTGACTGCTGTGCAGGGCATGGGACAGTCAAGGGGTGTGTGTTCTGGTTCTCCATAGCAATAGCAGAGGGTGCCCACTGGGGGTGGTGCCGTTGTCCAGCTGCTGGGATTGCAGTGCCCACGGTCTCCCTGTCTTCCACTTCTGGACACTCTCTGATGCAAGCATGACTCCATGGTGCACAGTGTGACACAGCCAGGATCGCCTCTGCATCTTCTGCTTGCTCCACCACCACAGTCAGCATGGTTGATTTCTGCAGGCATACTTGGGGTATCAATGCTACACATAGCACTGGAGATCAGCTGCAAGTGAAGCCAGAATTTCACCCTCTTGCCGGTGACAGTAACCAACAGTCCCACTGGGTTAGTCCCCTTAGCCCCACATATACGGTAGACATGTAAACGCATCCATCAAGCACAATAATTATGAAGCACAACAAGTTCACACACATGACATTATAAGTACAGCACAATACACACTATTTAAAACTACAGTAGAGTCTCGCTTATACGACCTTCCCTTATCCGACATTCCGTATAATCCAACGTCCCACCGCGAAAAACAAACAAAAAAAAAAACGCATCAACCGGCAACAAGAACTGCAAGTTGCGAGCGTGAGCGCAGTCTATTTTTTGTTGCTCCCGACTCTAACGCAGCTAATTACTTACCCCGACTGTACAGTGGCACGTCCGTCTAGACTGACTCATGTGTCTGTCATTCGCCCCAACCTCACTCTCTCACTGTCACTACTCACTATTCAGTGCAGGGCAGTTTATCATTGTATGCGGATCGGTTTATCGTCTGTTACATGCGTATGTGTCTGTGTGTGTTATTTTGACAAACGTTGTTATTTTGTTGTGAAACATGATTATTAGGTTAGTAATGTGTAAAATAATAACATAGTTTGACGTTTAATAGGCTTTGTCTTAACACGTCCCATTATCCAACATTTTCACTTATCCGACGTTCTGCCAGCCCGTTTATGTCGGATAAGCCAGACTCTACTGTAATTATTACACATTTACACATTTTTGCAACTGGCACTGTGCCAGGTTCCCCCAATGTGCACTGGGTAAGTAAATCTCATTTTACCTCACTCAACTAGTGTGACAGTGAGACTGACTACTTTATAGGCTATCTAAATATTGGGTGGAAAGAGATATTTCTGAGGCTTTGTGACAGTAGAAGGACATAGTTAAAATATCTTAAAGTGAAAAT